AAAAAAAAAAAAAAAAAAAGTAAAAATTGTTATCTTGTACTTTCAGGAAACAATATATATCCAGTCAGTATTTCTTGTCTATGAACCACATTAACATATTAACATTGACCGAATGCACAAAGGATACCTTATTATTGAAGTTCCACCTGCCATTTCGTGGTACACAATCTTCGCTGTCGCCAACCTTCAACTACAAGGTGAAAGAGGTTTCAGCATTGTCTATACATAAGATGCACNNNATCTGTCGATCATTTAAGAGAAAATAACTACCTTCGGTGGTTCCAAAACCCTTGCGTCTATTTGAGTAAGCTGCTTTTCAATTGATACACCACAAGTGTCAAGGAGTGGATCCTCGTCATAACAGTACTTTTTAACAGCCTGGGAAGATCCAAGTTAGAAGTGAAATCCCCATGCAACAGAAGACAAAAACAAATAAATGAAGGCATAGTTATGAAAACTTTACATCAGTTACAACTTGAATTCTCTCAGGTGGCTTCTGCCTCGATTTCTCAAATAAAGAGGCTCTTTGCAATCCTGATAATGATTTACTGTATCTCTGAAGAGAAACTAGAGAACAGAGCTGGGTTTCCGCCAAGAAAGTAGAACTGGATATTTTAGAATCAGATGAATTGTATTTCATATAATACAACACAAGAAAGATTTACCTCTAGTGGCAGGTAGCTTGGTCGTTTAGGTTTCCCAACATCAAGACATGGCATGTATGCTGAAAGTTTGGGCTCTATGTTATAGTGCTTAACAAAATAGTCATACACAGAAATCTCCAGGGTCTCGTCATTGTCTCTGGCAGCACTATCACCTTTCACTTTCATCGAAAAACTGAAATATCAACATAAAAATCAGAATGTGTCGGAAGTTAGAACTCAGGAAGAAGGCAACCAATACTTACAGCTGCTGATTGCAAGGTTTCTCACTTAAACCTGTAATTTTGAACTCCCTATTATTATGACTTGCCTTGACCCTCATATTCTTGAGCATCATTTTGGCCTGTGCTTCAAAATAAGTATCATGAACCACTGCAGGTTCAAACAGCCAAGTAAAATGTTTGCAGTTGAAACTCTTATACCTTCAACCAGTCAATTTCCCGAGCTTCCTTCACATTCTGGTTAGCAAGAAGAAAATCCATAACAGGTCCCGGTTTTAAGATCATGGTTGTTGACACATCTAACAACAAATTTTGTAGTGGCACAATTAGTAGAAAACAAAATCAGGATTATGGACTATGGTAGGAGAAACTGGAAAAACAAATAAGTAATACCCATGTTTAGAGATAAACCGCCAAGAGTTGGATGAAAGCTGGAATGGAATCCTCTCACGCTTGTCACACCCCCTCCAATATCAGTGAAAGTCCGTGAATCATCATGAAAGAATGACTGTCGAACCAAAAGGCACCCTCTGCAGGTTAATGCTCACCATTCAGCGCAAAACCAACTGTATGCAGGACAGAGTATGTAAATGGGGAATAGTGATAGAATTACCGATTAGCTGACTGTTGCCTAAGAACGATATCTAAAACCTTCAGGACATCTTGATCTTTTTCTGGTTCAGCACCTTGAAGGGCAAGCGATATAGACTTCAAGGGTATTTTGGCAGCAAAAGTTATCTCCACCTTGAATGCTTTTGAGTGTCTGGAGCTCTTAGACCTCTTGCTAGACTCCTTCAAGCTTCCATTATCAGAAGGGTTCGCGCTGTTACATAATGGATGATCTTAGTCTAGGATTCAGGCAAACCAATTGAAAGAAGAAAATGAAAAGAAAACTATAAATGGCATAAATTTCAATTTAGAATTCACCGGTTGGTAATTATGGATTCCTCAAGAACCACTTTGAAGTCAAGCTTGTTACGCGGTAAGGGACCCACTGCATATAGATTCTTGTCACCATCATATGCAAATCTCTTCCCAGAAAGTTCTGAATAATACGATTGGTAGAGTTGATCAATGACTTTCCTCCTGATAATCTTACTGTCAACCACCTTACCATCTTCATAATTAATAGAAACCTACAATGAAGATGATGGAGGAAAGAAGAAAGTTATACGCATGCTGCATGTATAAACTACAAAAATGATAAAGTATTGTATTTTACGTTGTATTGGAAAAAAACTTCATCTGGATTTCTGATGGAAACTTTAAAGTGATTTGTGAGCACAGGTAATTGACGGCCACAAGTCCCAAATCCAGGCCGTGTAATGATAGACTTCTTAGGCAAGTCAACCAGTTCCAACTTCACCTCTGGTGGTATAGTTAGCAGTGGTGGGGCCAAAGGTGAAGGAGGACCATCCCCTGCCATACCAGTAATTTCCTTTCTTGTGTTGAACTCGTAACCTAAAATAATTGAGCAAAATGTTAGTAGATGCTCCATTGTATAACAAGTAAATGCAAGATACAGATCTTTGAACACGCACCCTACCCAATTTTTGGCCAGAAATTAAGAATACAAAAATATCAGCAATGCACATCAACAATCAGGGGTACTACAACAACAGCTGGACCCATCAAACAACCAAACAGAATACGCAACAGTATAATGATTTGATATGGTAATACTTATAGGTAAAATAATTATACTAATACCTGGGAATCAAGTTCATTAGACTATTAAAGCAAGTATCTTTGCCAAAAAAAGAATAATAATAATAAAATAACAAGTAAAATCCACAGAATTGTTTCATGGTAAAAATTATCATCAACAATTAACTAAGCTATTAAATCAGCAAAGAGAATATCAAAACCGGGAAAGCACAGTAGAGAAGCCTCGTGTGAACAATCAACTCAGTATGTCAATGGAGGAGCCAGTCCAGCAGAAAACACTATAATGTTGGCTAATTCACAAGCTCAACGGCAAACACATTTAGTGAATTTAACTTGGAGAAAGCACTGTACACTTGGCGAACCCAACATTTACCCAAATTCTCAGTGCATTTACATCTAATCTTGATTACAGTGCCCAATGAGAAAGAAATGGCTGATTATATTCATTTTCCTAATGAGCAATCATGTGATAGGTGTACATAACACATAAAGGCCACACTAATTTGACCAAAAAAAAAAACCGAGCTTCGCAATAACAATAGAAATAAGACCAAGCAACTCTTGGCAATATAATTGCGGATAAAGAACAATTTATACATATTCTATTAGTAAATGTATGATCCTGGGCTTCCACTGGCAAATGACAGTAAATACAGACACAGTGTAAACCCGATGTTACTTTAGAATATAAAATATCAAGCATAAGACATTCTGAAAAAGTAAATAGCACAATTCTGGGTTTCTCACACACCATTTCAGCCAAAACTTAAAAGTACAAGCAGCAATCCGGTAAGTTCAATTCTACTGCCTACACGGGGTTTATCACCGTTGTATCACACACACACTTTTAGGAATTAACCACATAGATACTTCAGAAATCACCTAAACCCCATCAGTACCGAAACGAAAACAGTGCATCAAAGCCCAATACCTCAACATGCATTCAATCTTATTCACGAAAATCACTAACAATGAAAATATAAGCTCAAAACAATATCTGTAAAACAAAAGGGGCTCAATTACTGATACACACACTACTTTGGAACCAGCATAACAAAAACAAAACAAAATATGGATTTAAGCAGGAAACACCCAAACAGTACCCAATCACAAAGAAAAAAGTATAATATTTATAAATAAAATTTAAAAAAAAAAAAACAAAGCACTACACAGCAAGATAGCAGCATACATTCCAATTGAACACGAAGGTCTTCACACACACACACACACTCGAGCAAAATTTCAGCGCATGCCAGTAAAGATCGAGCGTAAGGTCACCTTCGCGATGATACTCAGAGAAATTCGATCAAATTGCCGTAGCGAAAATGGCTGCACAATGCAATAATCGTCTCTCCGCTATTACCGCTCTGAGTTTCGCGCGGAGACTGGAAAAAAATGGAGGGAAAAAAAGGACTGAAAAGGAGAAGTCTGCTTTTGGGAATTAATCTGGTGCGCCGATTCGTACATCGGTGATTGAATCTCCGCCGTCCGTCAATTTGTTCAATATTAGTTGATTCCTTTTCCGCCGGAGCTAAAAGTTATGGCATTTTGGATGATTTTTTGGGGCTTTTCCTACAAAGTACCTAAACCCTTTTACATATTCTTTTTCAGTCCCCACACAAAAAAATTTCATTTTCACTCTCTATTACACTAAATATCTTACAATGAACTCCCTATGTTTAAAAAAAATGATAAATAAAATACACACATCACATCACCATCTACCAACTTATTTTATCCAATTATTATATTAGTTAAATAGTAATTTCTTCTAATCTTCTTCCACAATCCACTCCCTCATTCCTCTTCTCCCGTCACCTTCATGTCCGATTTTCAGTGTTTTTTTTTTCTTGCTAATTTTGGTCTCCGGCGATCGTAAATCCGGCGAAAGGCACGGTGGTGACAAGAACTTGAAGAGTTGACGTGAACCCGGTTCCAATTTTTTTACATATTGAAGGTGAATTTTTTTTTCCGGCAATATTGGGGCGATTTCCGGGCGAAATTTGAAGTATTGTGTATGTGTGTATTTATATGTTGAATGTGGAGTCCAAACAAAGTCTTGTATTCATAATTTTTTAGTTAATTTGACAAGGGTTCAATTTTGTATATTTGCCCTAATTTTTTTGAATTTTGTGTATTGTTGTCCTTAATCTATTTTCTCTTGTTCATACATACGAAATTGACGTGATAGTTAGTTATGTTGTGTATCAATGAGCTTGAAACAAAAACTAAGGTGACTATGATTCTTGTACCATTATGCATGCTATTGGTACCATTTTTTGAAACTCTAGTACCACTGAAATGACTAAATAATACCACTGCTGCTGGAAAAGTGTAACATGTTATTTGTTTTATTCAATTTTTGTTAGATACAATGGAAGGTGGACAAATTGATATAATAGCAAGTTGTACCTACAACAATGAATATTTTGTGTTCTCTATGAACCATGAATCAACTCTTGACCAAATGTACACCGTCATTGGTAAGAGGTGGCCAAATGTGAATGTGGAATCCGTGAAGTTATGTTATATTGCGCCAATTGGTAAAAAGCAAGTTAGCTTGGCGGACGATGAGGATGTGAAAAACATGGTTCGATTCCATTTGTGTTGGAAAGAAAATATTATAGAGATAGTTGCCAATGAAAAAAATCAAAGAACGGATCATGGGGTTCCATCCTTCCCGATGAACATGAATAGGTAATGGCGCTTCTATAATATTAATGAATTTATTATTGAAACATGGTATGGTTGTATGATATCCTTGTTATGTTATTTTAAGTAACGTTCCATTATTTATGTTTACGAATGTACGGATATTATACCGTATGATGATTTATCGGAGGGAGAATCGGAGCTTCCATTGGACGATAATTCGATTGAGTCGTGGAGAAATTGCATCAAAGGGGAAGGACAAGTTTTCAT